CCCCGGTTTCCACGGCTTGGCACCTTCGGGATACCGCTAGGTTGATGAGCGGTGGTCTGCCTGGCTGGAGGTGGGGGGTTGTCCAGGGAGCTTTTATGCGGGGGAGGGCTTATATTTTTGCCCACCAGAAAAATGTGGCATGGCCTTATTATCAGGACATGTATTTTCGGGGAAATACGGTACTCACATTTGCACATTCATTTATTCAAACATATATTAGGTAAAATATCAACTTTAGTGCTTGTACTTGGGCAAGTAGCTGTATTTTAAATTGGCAACCAAAGTTAAACATAATGTCTTATTTATACCAATATATCAATAGAAACAAAGGAGTGTCTAAATTTGGAGCAAGAGTAAATTTAGAAAGTTAAATTTGGTATCTTGTCACAGTAGATCTGATTTATATCTAATTAATTTAAATCAATTTAAATTCAATTGAAGTTTCAGTTGAATGATTTAATCCATTAAGAAGATTCTGTAATCTTTTCTAGTAAAAATGTATTTTTGTTGTTTGATGTAGTCTGAATATATATTCTGCAGTACTCAGAGAAAGTTGTTTGATGTAGTCTGAATATATATTCTGCAGTACTCAGAGAAAGGTGTTCACTTTTAAGGTGTGTGTCCGTTTCCATTATTTTTCAAATTAATTTTAATTAAAATGGAAAATTATCACACATTTATTAATTCATTAGGAGCTAAAGCAACCCCACTTCAGTAATGCCATTTTTCAACATTTTAAAAAACACTTTTAGTAGATGTGTGAGGAAAACAACAATCACAAGTTTTCAAATTTTAATATATTTAATAAGAAAGGTGATTGCCTTGCCTTAATTAAAAATGGATGTGCTTGGTTTTGATTACTGAATTTATATAATTTCTAGTAATTCACTCTTGATTTTTTAAAATACCATCATCAAACATATATCTTGCCTGAATATCCTAATTGTTTTGAAATTTATTGTAAATGGTGCCACAGGTACTGTTTTGATGGAGGTCTATGTGATTCTTTCCCATCAAGGATTGTTTCCAAAGTTTTGTCTCCTGTTAGTTCTATAACCATGGCAGTCTTAACTAATCCAATCTTCAGCCAAATTCAGATGGAAACTAAGGCAACACACAATTGGGTTAAAAAGCATCATTGGAAGTGTTAGGAAATCTTTAGGACATTTTTGCTTTCTCCATTGGCCATTTTAATAACAGTAAGGAAAACTTGGCTTTGCACCTAATCACTGTTTGGGATATGTGTCCATTGTTACAAACCTTTGCAATGAGTTTTGATATAGAGGCTGTTTTGATTGCTCTTTCTCTCAAGCTTAAGGATTAGGTATGCAATATGGATCAACTGATCAGACAGAGAGGTTCCCACAAAATAGCCAACAAACTTAACCCTATGTAACTGTCTGTTGTTATGCTTCCTCTCCCGATGGATAATTGCCTAAGTAAACTGAGCTTTCCTTGATGTGTCCATCAAACAGGCCATTGTAAATTTTAGCCCTGATACTAATCTTTTCCATCAGAAATTTTGTTGGAAGGTTTGATGTGTCTACTTTCTTCATGTCTTCTTATATAAATTGATTATTGTGAAATACTTTGCAACACCTACTATACTAACTTTGTGGGGGTTTTTTTGCAGCAAAATAGTATTCCACGTGTACACAATTAATTTGAGAATTCCTTCACTTCTAAGCGATGTGTAGCATTATCTATGCCTATTCCTGTAAGATAGAGAATTTGTTTTAAGCTTTGGGGCTGATACACAAGATCTTTCAGTATTATTTAATAATATTATTTATGGATCACTGCTATCATAATTAAGTAGTGGATATCGATGTTGATGAAAAATTAGATATGGGAGACAGCCATCAGAATTTGAATGGATTCACCCAAAGAAAAGAAATATATGTAATTATTGCATGTTTTCCATAAAGCTTGTTATAATTGTTTTATTGTTTTTTAAAAAATAGCTTAGGGGCATGGTGTTTTTTAGCTCCAGCTAATAATTTAGTTCATATGTGTTTTTCCTCTTTCTTTTAACAGGCATTTATAGCAGTAATGAAGTAGCAGTATCTTTTCCAAATGTAGTCTCTGGCTCAGGATCTAGCACTCCTGTTTCCAGCTCACATTTACCTCAGCAGTCTTCTAGTCATGTGCAGCAAGTGGGAACTTTGTCTTCTACACCTTCTGTAGCTACAGCTGTTGCTGCAACTCAAGTAGGTTATTAAAAGTATTTGATGGTCAATATTAGGGTGGCAAATAGGACATATTGGCATTTTGCATATGCTTTATCAAACAAATGTATCTAAAGAAAGAATAAACTATACATGTATCTTTCGTTTCTTTTAGTGTGTTATGAAGAAAACCAGACTAACTTCTAATTTTTTATTCATTTTTGATTAGTTTCACAAATGGATTTAATGTTCAGAATCTGCACACTATAAAGTTAGATATTTTTTAAAAATAGGCTTTCGGTTTTGGTATTCTATTTGTTCTCCTAGCTTTATTTTCTTAGCAGGTATGGTCAATGATAGAATTCATTCATTATATTAAGCTAATTTTGGTTGGTTGGTTGTTTGGGACTTAACATACTATGTTAGCCCAGTCAATTGTGAGTCTGTATACTTTGGTTAAACAGTGTTTACATTATATTTGTAAACCCATCTAATGAATATATTTGAAAATCTTGAGTGAATTGCAGTTAGTAATTACTATTAATTACTTAGAGTCTTACTTTGGCATATCTAATGTGCATAATAATTTGATGAATGTATCTTTAAATTTGTAAGCAGATTTGAAAGCCAGTGAAGTTACTATTATTTTTTTAAAGTAATCACTTGCTGAATAGTATATTACAATCGTAGCAGAAATGCTGTAATTATATAAAAACTAGTATATTAATCATAACAGTAGCAGTATAAAGGCAAACTAACAAATGTTTATAAATATATAAATACAGCTATAAATACCTGAGGCAATACAAACTATTTCTTTATGTAAACTATTTTGCTACATGAATATTTTTACTTACAGAAATTATTCATGATCTCTTTCCAAAAATAATGAAGACAACTCATGCTTAATTATAATAGCTTCTTTAGTTACTCACCCATAGACCCAATAAAGCTAAATTGTATCCTAGTTTTATTTCAGGAAAATTCCTTACTAAATTAACCTTTTAACCACGAACTTCTGATCTTTTGTCATCATATCTACTCCAGGAGTCATTTTTATACATGAGGAATTCTCAAAAAGCAAAATTCTTTGTTTAAAACATAAACATATCCTACTAGATTACTAGAAGTAAAAGAAACTTTTGAACTTCAACATTCAAGTGAAATGCTATACTTAATGTTCAAAATAGGTCCAACTGATTACAATAGAGTCTCTGGTAAATCTGCATAGGATTAAAGTCTGTTAATCCTTTAAGAACCCTTCATAAATTCCAGCTTTACAGGTGAGATACATTGAAATATTTACTGAAGCTTTCATTTAATGCCCACGATAAGTAGTGTCATCATTAAAACAAAAAACTGCAATAATTTTTAAGTAAAAATATAATTTCTTCAGGCATATAGTTTTCTTTCTAAGAAACAGAAAGTAATGAGAAAATATTGTAACTAATTTTTCAATTACATAGATAGTCCTCAATTTACAACAGTTCATTTAGTGACAGATCAAGTTACAACAGCAGTGAAAAAGTGACTATGACTGTTTTGCACACTTATGGCCATTGCAGCATCCCCATGGTCATGTGATCAAAATTCAGGTGCTTAGCAACTGACTCATATTTATGGTGATTGTAGTGTCCCAGGGTCATTTGATCCCCTTTTGCAACCTTCTCAGCAAAGTCAATGGGGAACCAAATTCATGTAATTGTGTTACTAATTTAAAAACTGCAGTGATTCATTTAATAACTCTGGCAAGAAAGGTCATAAAATGGGGCTCAATTGTAATCATAAGTCGAGGACTACCTGTATATATGATTATATAAAAGTGCTTTCAATTGTATGTTTCTACTTTTGAATTCACTTTAGTATTCTCTGTATGCACACATACATTTATTTTAATTGTTTTGAATATCTGGAATTTAGTTAGATGATGTTATATATCGATAGCTTGTATTTTTTATTACTTATGTGCTAACATTGGATAAATACATTTTAAGAAAGGCATTAGTATCTTTTTAATCTCATTATTCCAAAGAAAGAGGATAATAGGTAGCACATGTTGCATAATAATTGCTCATTATTTGTTCCTTTAATGCTTCTGAGAAGTGGATGTTAGATTTTTGACAAGTTGTTTGTGTAATGCTAATGGTGTAATCTGTTGTACATTTACCTGAAAATAAACTTCATAGAAAAGCAAACAGGATTGCATTGTAAATAATGAATGTTAACATATTAGCACGTTTATTGCTGCAGTTTAGTTTTTACAATTAATACCTTAAATATTTAGTTTATTTTCCTGTTCTAGCTCCTTTTCCACACAATTGTTCTTAAAATGAAAGTGTTACATCACATTTTATATGTTAATACTGTGTGGCTTTGCCTTCTCTTTTATCTTCAGTGCCACTTTTTTTATTCTTAAAATATATTTCCTTCATTGCATATTAGATAGCTTTCCTTTCGTTTTTGAAAAAGAGAAAGCCGCCGATGTTGTTGTCTAAACTATATTGTGGTGTTTATAAACTCTGAGTTATTTTTATATTTCCCATATTTAAGCTATGTCTTCCACACATTCTTTTAGTTCCTACAGTTCAATTCTTCCTAAGGTGAAGAGGAAAAGTTGAAGAAGCATACTACATATACAAGTTGTTTGCATTAAATTGTTTAAGTTGCAATTTGCAATTGTTTGACTCCAGGCATGTTCTTTTCCAAGACTTGCTGTTTCATTTTCCCTTCCCCAATAATAAATCAACACTCCATGGTTACTGAACATTGGGATATTTCTGGAAACATTCGTGTTTCCTTGAGTATGGTAATACTTTTGTACTCTGCTGGGTTGTTTGACTATATGAGGACCAGCAAATGAAAGAAACTTGCTGAAAAATGTGAGTGTAGAATCATAATTATCTGTAATATTTTTAGTAATTTATTTTAAATTAATTTATTTTTAAGTAAATACCTGTAAAATATGTTCAAGTCTGTTTATATTATGTGGAACTATCACCCATCCGAAGCATACAGTTTAGTTTATTTCCATAGTTTTAAATCAGTGTTATCTTGGGTGTTTTTTTTTTTTTTGCCCTTTTCCCCCATTTTCTCTTTTTTCAGTCTGTTTCTGTGGAAGTCAAATTATGTGAATTCTTGCCTTTCTGTTTTTTTAAAAAATAGCAATAGCACATAGATTTATATACTGCTTCACAGTGCTTTACAGACATCTCTAAGCAGTTTATTGAGTCAGCATATAGTCAGCATATAGCCCCCAACAATCTTGAGTCCTCATTTTACTGACCACTGAGTCAACCTTGAGCCGATGAGGATCAAATTCCCAACAGCGAGCTGGATTAGCGTGAAATATACTGCATTGTAACCACTGCACCACTATGGCGTCTCCAATTAATACTTTTTTTTTTTTAAGGAGAACCCTTTTTTTCCGTCAAAATAAATCCAGATTTTTTTAAATGAAAAAAATGGGCTTCAATGTGAATTATGTAAGACCATTCATTTAAAAGTGGGTTGGGAAATGACCATATTTCATCCGTAATTCAGGCATAGTTCCAAATAAAATATATGAAATTCCTATATCTACATTCCAGGAATTACATTATTACATTACCAGAGAAGAAATTCTAATTAGCAATTTGGGAAATGCAGCAAGAAGCTAATAAATCCAAATTTATCAGAAAGTTTATGTATAGTTTATCTAACTATACATAGCTGTAAAGGCATTGAATTCATGGGGATTTGCTTCTCAGTAGATTATTAAAATTGTGCAAATTTGGACAACAATATTCACAGATTAACCACAGTGGACATTTACAATATTTGGATAACAATTCTGTTTTTCAAATTTTAACTATAATAATAGTTAAATATATATAATATATATATAATATATATAATATATATATAATAATAGTTAAATAGTTAAAAATAGTCTTACTATTTTTCCTGAAAATAGGAATAGTACTACTGTATGTAACTTATATTGGAATGTTAACTCTCTACAGCAGTTATATATATGCACAAAGTATGTATAGAAAATTGTGGGAGAATTGTTATGTCAAGACCTGAACTTCCTCCTGAATTTCTGTTTTTGAAAAGTGGTATTGTATTTGTAACATTCCAGAGTGACCCCTGCTGGCAGGTAGTATTAAAGCAGCGATATTTAATCAAAATTTCCTCTTTCTGTTAACACAGGGATTCCTAAATGATCACATATTTACTGATGTTAACAGTAACTTACCCAGAAAATAGTAAAAAATTTCTATTATCACCTTTATTTAAAATGTAATTTCATAATGTCTCATTTGAATATCTCTTACTAGGTAAAATTAAGCAAAATCTCTTTTTTGAGTTCATCCTTTTGACTATAGATTCTGGGGTAAAGAGTAGAATTTACAACCAAAAAGGAAATTTCAAACAAACTTGTGACTCTACTATAAGAAGAAAAGAATCATAGCTACTTGTGATAATAATCCTTGGTTCAGTTAAAATGGTTGCTGTTCAATAATTTGATTTTAGTAACATATACCTCCTTATAAATATAATTCAGTAAGTCTGCTAAAGAGTTGTGTAATCTTTTGCACACCTCTGCATGCTGAGACAGCTGCATCAGGGCTTCAGTCCGCCAGTAAATGGTTTCTGCCTTCAAGCTGAAGCTTATTTAGTCGGGCTTATCTGATGCTGCTGTAGCAACCATCAGTCTCCAGGCAACTGAGGCACATTGACCTCTCTGATGAACTGAGAGAAGCACTACTTCAGTTTAGCTTCCTAAGACAATTACTGGTGGTGAATTTATATATATACGTTCATAAATCCGTGTGTAGGTACACACATAGAGTTCATAACACATTGTGCATATATGTGACTGTATTCTCTGAAAGGATGATAAGGTAATAAATGTAGGAATACCTTAAGCAAGCTATTACAAAATCTTTTATAGGATAAAAATCTGGTTAATCTTTAAGTAATGTGCAATTATATTCATATTTTTTAAGAAAACAATTTTAAAAAGATTCTGTTTTAAAAGTTGCCTGGTAAAATTACGA